CCTCTGCTGGCGGCTTGTTTGGTACAAACAGTGACACACATGCAAACAGAATTTTTTACCCCTTAGGTAACACAAGTACAGACGTTTCTTTTTCAAAAGCCCACAATTACCTCAGTTCTGTCCTATTACTGTGACACACACATATTTTCACTGAGGAAGACAGAAACAGACACAGACATTTCTGTTCGTTCACAGACACATATACACACATTCCGGTTCCTTCAGTAATACACCGGTATTTCTAGTCCTTCATGCACACACACACACACACAACTTCCATCTGCATGCAGAGTGATATTAATCCTGTTGTCCTTTGACAGTCAAAGGACTGTCACTGTTTGACAGGGGTGTCACACATACCTCACTCACACACCTATTGGCCTCTTGCAAAATTATATCACTGCCAGACTTTTCACTCACCCTGTAGAGATATTTCTAGTAATTCTCAAAGAAATGCATATGTACACATGTAAATAAATCATAAATAAACATGTAAATGGCATCCAATACTTTATTTCAAAGTATTTGATAATATAGGCTTGATTCATTTTGATATAAATGTTGAATTATGAATATGTTTATTCTGGTCTGTAAGCTTAGGGAGGGGCACCTGTTGGCCAAACAGGGAACTGATACAGGAAAAGGACCAATCCTGACTGGTATGGAGGATGGGCACAATCCAGAGAGACTTCTGACGTGGTGCCTCAGGATTTTTTATGGAATTGACTAATCCACATATTTAATACATCTTGTTTATTCAATGAGATGACACAGCAGCTTCTAGGTGACAAGATGGAAAAGTATAATTTTGTTAGTGGTGTACTACCCAGAGCTGTATAAAGTAGAGATTAAAATTTATAGAGACGTAAATCGGAAGGCAAGTGCTCTTTCCTCTCACCTTTAATTAATAATTGATAAAAAATTAAAGGGTATCAAATGATCAGACGTGGTCTGATTACTGTACTGTTCCCATGGTTACCTTACCATGTGACATATCGCTTCCGCGACTACAGACAGTCTGCTTGCCTTTCACATGAGACGTGGAGCTGGACGGTGTTGGACAAAGGACAGAAATCACATCCCACATCCCATCTGAAAGTGCTCTAAATCTAATACTGTATTATTAAAATAAAAAATGTACCTTCTGGTGAATCTGGGGAGATCTTTTCCATTTAAATTATCAAGTAATTTGATTAATTCCACTTCTGTCTTGATGATGGGGAATAATTT